GGCTCCAAGTCATTAATTCAACAAGCAAGTGATTAATTAAAAAAAAATAATAATTATGAAAATATATTATCCTGAAACAAAAAAGCAGATAAGAATATACTCTGGCAAGCAATAATGCACAATATTTGAAAAGTATAATGTTCTAGAAAATACAGGACACAGAAACCTGTGATTACCATAACTTATAAGGCACTAAGCCAAATTCTTCCCAACTCCAAGTTTAATGCGTTGAGGATGCCTATCGGTCCCAATATATATATATATATTTTGGAAAACTAATGAGAGAAGTCAAAGAGAAGCCTCCTTTGAACTTTTTAAGGGTCTACCAAATCTGACAGACCCCCATGCCTGCTCAGGAAGATCCTGAGGCTTCCATAGCTCAGTCAAGGATCCTTGGTGAGAGGTCCTGCTTTGATCTTGAGTCACCACCAAGATGTTATCTTCCAGATCCAGGTCAACTCACAACAAAAGCAAGCAACACAGTCCGGAAATGACTGAGCTGCGCTGATACACTTGGGAGAGGCTTTCGGGAGTTCTGATGTAAGACATAGGAGCCAACAATGGCCTGCACATGCTCCTGCTACTGTGAACCTGGGTCCTGACCAGCCTTCCTATCCCAGCACTGCAGGGGTCTTCGGCTATTCTCTCTGTGCCCGGAGTTTCTTATCTTTAATATTAATAGGTGGAGTAGCTGTTATTTTTTTCTGACACGATAAACACACAAAACTTTGATTTTTATTTGCGACAATCTCTCTTCAACATTTACAACCCAAAGATCTGAGTTCCTCTCAAGGGACCCCTTGTTAACTATAGAAGTCGGAGCCTTAACTGAAACAGGAAAGAGCCTGTATGAATCAAAGCCAAGAAAAGCATATCCGTGCTTCTCTCAAAGATGAGGAATGAATGCAGGCATGAAACTAAAGGGTTCTACAATCCACAAAAAACTTTGCATGTATAACATGAATTAGGTCTCTTTTAAGTTCAAGCTAACATCTATTTGAGCACCCACGAATAAAACAGTGCATTGCCAAAGATATCAAGATTGGTAACCTGTGCAGAGAAAAACTCCCCAAAGGGCTGTGAAAGGGACGTGGGACATATCTCACTGAGAGAGTGGCACAGATGGGTGCAGATGGACAGGGAGAACGCTGGCTGGATTTGCCCATCTATTGTAGAAGGCATTCCAGGCTACAAGCAGAGTACAGACAATGGCACTGAAGTTGGAGGAAAGGCTAGGAGTGCATTTTGGGGTACAGGGTTCGTAGTAGAAGAAGGGCACTATGATTTGAGGCCAAATCACAGTCTTGATCATCAGTTGCATGAATGATCTTATAGGATAGAGATACCTGGACAAAATATCCAGTAGATGGCTTAAAGATCAAAAGCTCTCTTTTGGCCAAAACCGGTTTGGCTCGGTAGATAGAGTGTCAGCCTGCGGACTGAAAGGTCCAGGGTTCGATTCTGGTCAAGGGCATGTACCTTGGTCGCGGGCACATCCCTAGTGGGGGATGTGCAAACGGCAGCTGATTGATGTTTGTCTCTCATCAATGTTTCTAACTCTTTTTCCCTCTCTCTTCCTCTCTGTAAAAAATCAATAAAAATATATTTTTAAAATATATATTTTTAAAAAGCTCTCTTTTGCCTAAATTTAAATTTCTTTCAACATTTAAGAAAGACAGTGCTAATCAATTAACATTATTCTAACTGACTAATGAAAAAGCTTCCCATCCTTGTAAGAATAAGGTTAAAGCTGGAAAACATTAGCAACTTTAAAGTCCCTTTCAAAGATTCATGAAATAAAAATTAAATATTAAAGTTATTTGAAATGACTTTCTACTAACAGACACCAAAGAGTCATCCAGAAAGCTTATTCTGGTTTAATGCTTAGAAAATGGAAGGAAAATAAAACAAAGGATTTTTTTTAGCCCCCAAAGCAGCACTCTTTAAACTTTTAAAAATGACCCTGTGTAAGTTTATGGACATTGGGATGCCATGTTTTTATATATACAGAAACTCCCTGTGATGAAATTTTCAAAATACATTAGGCTGAACATCAGCAGAGGGAGAACTTGGCATCAGTTTCGTCTTGGAAATCACCAAACATCTATACGTCCCCACAGCCCAGCTTTCAACTGAGAGTACTGAATCATGACCTCTCAATGCCATCTTGTAAAATATAATGCAAAACGATAAGAGATTTGTAGCAGCCTTTACATACCGAGGAAAGCAGCAAAGAAATATGGATTAGACTTTGGGGACAGGCTAATTGGGGTGTTCAAATCTAGGCTCCTTCATTGTTAGCTGGGTTTAAGTTTCCTTTTCCATAAAAAAGGGGATAATATTTACCTTCCGAATCTGTTGGGAGAATTAAAATGTATGTAATATGCCTGGAACACGGTAGGCACTAAATGAAGACAAGACATGAATCTCTAATCAATGGAAAATGGTTATTAACTGCACCAACGCAGTTTCCAAGAACTCAGCTTGGAGAAGAGCAGAGATTAACTTCTAGTCCTTTCCAAAGAGTGAGAACATAAAGATGATACTAGAGAGGGCTCATGGATGGCAATGGGAAGGATAAAACCAGGAAGTTGAAGACAAGCAGAGTCCTGCACATAAAAACAATGAACAGGGAAGAAACATCTTGGGACAGAGTGTTTGAGGAAGAAGACATTTTTTCTTTAAGAAAGAGGATGACCTCTGGTGAAAAAAAAAGATATAATGGATTATTGCAATGACTTCATAACCAAAATAAGAGAGAGATGGTCAGAGTCTATCACCATCACTAAAGAAAACAAAGAGGTGGCTCTCTCACCCCCTCTCCCCTACCATTTGTCTCTAGATCGATCTATTCTTGTTCATCCAATTATGTTGATCATTATATCCCACATATGAGTGAGATCATGTGATATTTATCTTTTTCCGACTGGCTTATTTAACTTAGCATAGGACTTGTATGCACGCATATTGGCATAACCAATGGACACAGACACTGGGGCTTGCCCAGAGTGAGGATAGATTGGGAGGAGGAGTCAACTGGGGAAAAAGGAGACATATGTTAAACTTTAGACAATAAATAAATAAATAAATATCAATATAAAAAAAAGAAAACAAAGAGGCCTTTGGCAATATACAAATCCAAGTTCCTTTGATGACCCAGCTCCTGCCCATCTCCTGAGTGTCATCTCCTACCACTGTCCTTTACTTCACTCTTCCCTAGGTTCGCTCCACTCCAGTCACACAGCTTCTCTTCTATCTCTGGAACATGCCTAGCACGTTTTTCCTCTAGCTCTTTTGCACATTTGCCTGGAAACTTCCAACAGAACTTGCCATGGCTGACTCATCCTAAAATTCAGGTCTCAATCAAACTGTCACTTCTTCAAGAAATCTTTACTGACCACCATACCTAAATTCCCCCCATATCCCATTTATCTAGTCCCTTACCCTGCAATTTTTTTTTTCTGGCATTTATCATTATTTGAAATTGACATTTAAAAAACACACATATTTTTATTGATTTCAAAGAGGAAGAGAGAGGGAGAGATAGAAACATCAATGATGAGAGAGAATCATTGATTGGTGCCTCCTGCATGTCCCCTCCCCACCTCTGTAGATTGACCTAGCAATCTGTGCATGTGACCTGACCAGGAATGGAACCGTGACCTCCTGGTTCAGAGGTTCACGCTCAACCACTGAGCTAAGCAGGCCAGGCTCAAGTTGTCATTTTTTGTTTACATGTTTGTTGTATCTCCACCAAAAGCTAAGGTCTTTGAAGGCAAAAACCTTATATAAAATTTTCAGCACTCAGTCCCCAACACCTAAAACAAAGTGTGGTATCAGATAAACTTGTTTAAGGAATAAATTCAAGTGACATTACCATCCTTCTGTGGACAAAAGTCCCTGGGAAATGGCTTTAGTTTCATTTCTTTAATGCAGTGTTAGGCAATAATGCAGTGTTAAAAGATCAATATTTGAGTCAGCAAGATTTAAAGAGAATAAATCCTTCAGGATAATAGAAAATACGTACTCATTGCATGCATATATTATGTGATACGTGTCTTTTTTCCTTATGAATAAAGTAACACTATCCTAAGTCTTGTGAAATCCTGCTTCTAGGAGAGGATATCTGAGTAGATGGTTTATAGACATTATCTGTCAGAACCCTTCTCAGCAGAGTTCGGAGATAAACAAACCGAATTCATTCCAGTATATCTGAGGGGTCAGACCTGTTACTTTACCTTGTTAAACTTACCCAAGTGATGAATTCAGTGACTCCATGTGAAATAAAGACAAAGGACATGATGAAAAAATGGCACATTAGGGAAATGGTAAGAACAGTTCACGTTAACCCATGTTTGAACTAAAAAAGGGGAGGGGGGGAATAAAACCTTGCTAATCCTAAACGAAAGGAAGCATGCTGGTGAGATTCTGAAATATGGCCAGGTGCCCATCGGTGGGCAAGGCATTGAACTAAACCACAGCCAACAACACGTTCATGACTTGTGTCTTCATTTCTAAGTTTTGTTTTGAACACAGCTTTTATGGACGAGTACAAGATGCCGGTTACACCTGATCGTATAACCCCGGCACCACCGAGTCCCCATTCTTGGTGGCTCTGGAGGGCCCAAGGCGCCAGGAAGAGGCTGGACCCCACGGAACACTCCCCTGGGTGTGCAGCGGGGAGGCATGGAGACCTCGCTCCTGCAAACATCCCCCGAACCCCAGCCCACGCCCTGGATGAACGTGGGCTAGCATGCTGCCACTTCACTTTGGTAAATCTTTGATACACGGAGCCTGCCTGCCTAGCCCATCCTCCTCCTCCGCCCCCCCTGTCTCTGCCTCCTCCTCCCGGAGGACGCCGCCGGGCTGAACAAACACAGCTAGATGCTCGGGCTGGGGCCTCCGGGGGCCGGTCTCCGGCGAGCCCCGGGGAGGTCATGTGACCCCGGCTGACTCAGTGGTCCCATCTGTCAAACAGGAGGACGAGAAACCCAGCCTACCTCCTTGGGTGGGTCCGGGCCTGCCGCCCCAGGCTGCCCCGGGGAGGACAACTCCGTGGTCGCGCCCTCCCGTGGGGGGGGCCCTCGCGAGCAGAGGGGCGGGCTCTGCAGGGCGGGACCCTGGATCGAGCCCCGCGGGCAAGGCGCAGCCCAGCGCCGGCCGCCAGCCGCCCCGAACCTCCGCGATTACCCGGCTCCTGACGTCAGCACGCTGACGTAGACGCACAGAGTCCGCCAGGCGCCCTAGGGACCAAAGACCCGGCTGGGGCCCCGAGTGCCCGTCATAGGCTCACTGATTGGTACTTATGTGTGTCAATCATCTTCTGCCCCAATAAGCGAGGCGGAACGGCGAAAGAGGGCGGGCTTCTCTGCCCCCAGGAGAGGGTGGGAATTTGAAAGCCAGCGCTGGTTGCATTTGACCTAATCCGGTGCCTCTCCGCTTCCCCATCGTCATCAGTTTTGCTTCTTCCGCCTTGAAAATAACATTGGGACTAGATGTCAGGGCGCCTCACACTAAGCTCTCCAGGAATGAAAAAGTGGGACTTTTTTTGTTGTTGTTCTATCTTCACCTTCGTTTTGAATTTAGGAGACCTTTCTCTGAGCTCCTATCACATACTGACACCAAGATCTTCATAATAGTCACATTTTTAGTGACGTTTCCTAGGAGATTGGGCATTTTTTAAATTATTGTTTTAAGTCAAGTTATCTATATATTTTAATTAACATCCCCCCCCCAAAAAAATGGATGCTAGTTATATCCTTGAAATATTTAAAGAAATAGAGGGTTATGCAGTGAAAATTCTTCTGCTCCCAGTTTCTCAGGCACTCAGTTCACCTATTGGAGGCAACTAGTGTTGCTGACATCTTGGATATTCTTCCAAAGACGTTCTAAGTGCTGTTATTAATTTTAAGTTACACATAACCATAAATTTAAACATTACAAATTAGGCTAATATCCTACTCAGGCACTAATTGTAAACCCAGTCCCTTTTTGATGACTCCTAGTTCCTGTGCACTTACATATGCATCGATGTTATTATATATCAACATTATATATTTGAGATCTTTTCACACCTCTATGTAAATTTACCCAATGCTTTCAAAATAATTCACGGTAGTCCTCAGAACCAATGGATATAATTATGATTCCCTTACCCTTCTTTCTTTCTTTCCCTCTCTCTCTCTCTCTCTCTCTCTCTCTCTCTCTCTCTCTCTCTCTCTCTCTTCCCCCCCCCCCGCCCCTCTCGGTTGTAGGCAGTTAGACAGACTTGAGCAGACCAAGGACAATGGAAGGACAATGGGTCAAGTACAGAAGGTCACCAGGGTAGAAAAGCCCCTGGTGCCTAGCAATGGACAATTTTAGGGCGGGACCTTGTCCTGAGGGACACACACACACACACACACACATTTTTCCTCACTCAACATAACCTCTAGGCCTCAGTTGTATTTCAGCTCTAGATCCAGATAAGCAACAGAAAAGTCATGGCTAATATCAGGACCAGCTGCGTTGGATAATGAGCCCTGCCCTGGTGCCAGTCATTCAGTGAAGGCCAGTCAATCAATGAAAGGACACACCCAGAAAACTGCTGAATATTCTCTCCAACGGCCCTTCCTTTACCTCTATAACTTGTTTCCTAAGTCTATTTCTTCTAAAAATTATTTTTTCTACCTCTATAATTTGCCCAATAAATATTCTATTAACAGTTTGAGTCTGGACCCTGAACTCTTTCCTAGATAGGTACAAAAGGGCACATGCACTTATGCTAAAGGTTTCAATGCTTCCAAAATGTTGTGGGAGGTGGGAATGGAATGGTACCATGTCCAGTGGGGTTAAACCAAATCTGGGTTCAGCAATCTCGGTACTTGGGTTCTATCTAGGAAAGAGTTCAAGGTACATATATCTTTTCTTATGAACCAGTGATTCCACTTCTGTGTATATATCTGAAGAAATCCCTAATACTAATTTGAAAAGATATATGTATCCCTATGTATAGTGCAGGGTCACCTATAATAGCCAAGATGTGGAAGCAACTGGTGTCCCATCAATAGACAACTGGATAAAAAAGTGGTTTTATATACAGGGTGTCCCCCCAAAATGTACACACGCTCTGACAGCTGATAACTCAATTTTGAAAATGAAATGTATTTTAATAAACATTTGTAATTATTCAAAGTGTGGTATAGGCTTTTTTGTGGTACCCTATATATATGAATATTATTACTCAGCCAGAAAAAAAAAATGAAATCTTGCCATTTGTAACAGCATGGATGAACCTAGAGGGTATTATGCTAAGTGAAATAAGTCAGTGAGAGAATGACAAATTCCATATAATTTCACTTATATGTGGAATCTAAAGAACAAAATAAATAAACAAAATGGAAACAGATTTATAGATACAGAGAATACGCTGTCAGAGTGACGTTGGGGGTTCAGTGAAAAGTTGAAGGAAATTGGCAGTTACAAAATAGTCATGAGGATGAAAAGTACAGCCTGGAAAAGATAGTCAATAATAGTGTAATAACTATGTATAGTGCCAAGTGGGTACTGGAAACATCAAGGGAAATACTTTGTAAAGTGTATGATTATTTAACGTCTATGCTGTACATCTGAAACTAATATACAATCATATTGTATGTAAACTGTAATTGAAAGATAAAATTTAAAAAGTATCAGTGTAACAGCTAAAGCGTATTTATGAAATCCTCCCCATATCAACAATAAAATATTTATAATTGAGGGAAAATGAAATATTTGTTGAATGGTGTTGCAGTGTGTGTGTGTGTGTGTGTGTGTGTGTGTGTTACAAAGTCATGCAAACACAGTGCTCCATCTAATCCATCCTCCACTCTGCCTCTAGTCGTGAGATGTGATAAAAGCCTGAAGCCTTGAAATAGATATGTTGATAATGGAAATCAGTAATATACATTAGTGTGGGTTGCAAAGGAAGGGATGGATATGTAAGCTCTTAAGAGATGGAACTGACAATTTATTGGGGAAACTAGAGGGCTAGGTAAAAGGTGGTTGGTTGGAGAATTTTGCCATTAACTTATATTAGGATTTTAGAAGGAAGGCTGGATTGGTCAAGGCTGAGTCATAAACTTACTTGTGAACATTTTGAGTTGAAATGCGTGTGCTTCATCTGCAAATGTGTGGGCATCTAGGTTATAAACGTGGAGCGTTCAGAAGAGACACTCCAGGGCAATATTGTTCAGCGAGAGAGTTAAGAGATTGAGAAGGGGGAGCCCCGAGCAGGATCCTGGGGAATATCTTTTAAGGAGCAGGTGGAAGCAGAATGACCAAAAGGAAACGTAGACACAATGAACTCAGAGAAGACACAACAGAAGAGAAAATTAAGTGACCAGAGAAAATAGTGTTTTGAAAAGGATGAAGTGATAAAGATTTAAGTCGGAGTGAGCAAGAATTAAGAAAACACAGAATACAAATTCTAGCAGAGCAAGGCAAATGTGAAAATATGTACTTAAAGAGATTAATTGTAACTTGGATCTTTAAGGATGTAAGAGATATAAAGCAGGGAGAAAGTCAGTAGCAGTTGGAGCAGGACAGCATTACAGGAAAATAAATGGAGGCAACGATCTGTAACTGAGCAGCCTGGAGAGGGGGTGGGTAGCCTTAATTGAACGGCCCATGAAACAGAAGGTCCCTGAATGATCTAAATTGACAAATCACTTTGATTCTGTGAGGACCTGTGATTAGTCCTGTGATGAAAGGAGGCATTGATTTATTTTGTTCGAACATTTTTCTGATATTCCCTTTTATTATTCGTTTGCAATTAAAATCATCTTAGGAGCTTGTCTAAAAAGGGACATCCCTTTAGTAATTTGATAATTAGACAAATCACTAGTGCTCATTATAATCTAGTCCCTATTAAACAATCCTGAGTAAATAAAAAGGTGAGAAACCTGAGATTGGTGACTTCGATTTAAAAAAAAAAAAAAGAAAAACATCAATTCTGGAGAAGAATTCAATAGTGGATAGATGTTGTCAGTATTCATAATATCCAAAGAGACATGGGTCTTGAGGCAAGCTGGGATAGTTAGGTCTGACCCAAGATAGACTTTGAATATAAATTCACTCTTAAACCGAAACCGGTTTGGCGCAGTGGATAGAGCGTCAGCCTGCGGACTAAAAGGTCCCACGTTCGATTCCTGTCAAGGGCATGTACATTGGTTGCAGGCACTTCCCCCGTAGTGGGTGTACAGGAGGCAGCTGGTGAATGTCTCTCTCTCATCAATGTTTCTAGCTCTCTATCCCTCTCTCTTCCTCTCTGTAAAAAAATCAATAAAATATATTTAAATTCACTCTTAAACAGAATGTATGCTCCTACAGAATTTATTGAAAAGTCAACTTTAGCTGCAGCAACTTACCTATTAGAAATAAAAATTTTTAAAAAAGGCAAAATAAAACATGCTTTATGAGCCCAGAGCTAATGTTAGAACTTCATAGAACGTTGCCAGCCCAAACCGTCAGTGACTTTGGTCATTCTCATCCTGTTCTCTCCCAATTTGAGGGATTTGGTTGCATGTTGGTGAAGCCATTTAGCTCACTGCGGTCTCTCCCCTAACCCAGGACCACAACCCCAACTAGCATCCTCTGCTGCTCCCAAGTGAGTCAAGACAACCAGGAAGGAGGCTCTCTTCCGCCACTGTGACTCATGGCACATGAGACTGAGCTGGTGCCTGGGGTAGGGGCCACTGCGCCCGCCTTACATGTGGAGCTAATGTTAGCCAAGGCCAGTCAAACCACCAAATCCACATGTAAAATTCGGCTTCCCTTTTGCAAAGTTGCTAAGAAGTCATACAGAGGTCACTGGTCTGTTCTTCCCAGCTATGTTTGTCAAGTTTTCACACAGTGCTTATGTTGGCAGGAAGCAGCTCCTGTAAGATTCTAGTGGTAACATTGAGGAAAGGCCAAAATCATAGCAGAATATCCAGGAAAACAATGTTTACCATTATCATTAATTATTTTCAAAGAAATTTAACTGTTCAATGTATAACCTTCCCAATTTGCTTTTGTGACTTACTGGGGGATTCCTTAAGTCTTATTGTAAGCATATATAACCTAATGTTTCTATGCTAAAAAACAGAATTCTAGTAATTCTTAACTTTTGGAGGCACCATGTTGATGTAAAATTTCTCCATAAAATTATGCTCTCCATAAAATTATTTAAAAGATAATACAAGCAGACAGCACTATAGTGC